TATTTATGGAAAGACCAGCCAGAGCTACAGATCTCGTGCCCAGACTCAGACAAGCTTCCCCATCGTGCCCTTTTTACCACCTGAACAAGCAGTGTTGTAAACTGCTGAGCATTGGTTTTACTCTCAAGGTGCCTCTCCTTCTCCTGTGAGCAGGAGCAACGTGTGGATTGAGAGAAGCCTCACATGCTCCAAAATCTGCCTCTCCAAAAAATCCTCAATGGAGTTTTAATTTATTTGCTTAAAAAATATATTTAAAAAAACCCCAACCCAGCTAATTCTATGGGTTAAATTAAGTAGGACTTTCAATGGAATTACTGTTACAAAAGCTCAATGTTTTTAGTCCCTGAGGTCAACATTTTCAAAACTAGTAGTTATCTTTAAGAAACAGCTATCTCCCTTGAGCTGCAAACAGTTTCTCAGTGACCTTTACTTTTAATATGATCTCCCTAAAGAGGTCAGAGCAGGAGAAGCCCTCCTTCAGTATGGCTTTGCTGGAAAGAAGCCACCAAAGAGTCAGAGGATATAAAGGATACTTGGGCCAATGCAAAAGTATAGAGCTTTTGTGCAGATGGTCCTGGCTTCCAACCGGTCCCTCCAGATCCACTAAGCCAATCCAACAATTAGAGGAAAATATTCAGAAAACAGAACCTCTCAGAGTTTCTCTCACCCATCTGCTCCTACAGACTCTGCAACAGGAGGAAATCTGGCTTGGGCAACAGAAGAAGAGTGAAATGGATTGAACAGGGCTCAGAAAGGGCCAGAGGTTCAACCCAAAATGCAACCAAACTGTGAGAGAGTTTGGAAAGGACTGGTAAAAAAAAAAATACATTGGAAAAAATATAAAAAGTCCCAGCTGTAGATGGTTTAGGGATCTGAATGTCAAAGCAACAAAAGCCAAAAGCATGGTTTCTTGTCCTGCATGACTTGAGAAAGGAAAATATAATGCCTGTTCAATTAAATTAAGAGAGTCCCTTTGTGTCTTTTATGAGTAATGTACATATTTATGTGTCCTGAATGGTCACACATACAGAAATAGTTCTGTATGAGCCAATATTTATCCCTGCCAAAACATTTTGCATTAATGGACAATAGAAAATCTTCATAGAACATATATTTTCGAACATTTCCATTTTCTACAATTGCCTTATGTAATATAAAACCTCCCTGCTTATACTGTCTGCATAATACTTTCTAAGTTCTTCTTAAACAGGCAGGTTGGCTTAAATAACTGTAGCTTTCAGGGTCTAATCCAGTGCCAGCCAAATTCAATGCAAACGTTCAAGCGACATCAATCTCCTTTGAACAGAGCTTTCCATGCAATTTGTATATATTTGAAGGAGGAATCTTTTTTGCTTGAAAGGTTGCTAGTGCTTAATGTAGCTTGCATTGTCTTTCTAAGACAATCAAATCTCATAATGTAATTAATCTACATTATTACCCTTCTCCAAAGACAAAGCACAGGCAAGACACCGAGGCTTGAAAGGCATGTGAGAGAAAACATTGCCTTTAAATTAGCATTAGCAGCTGTTGGAGGAGGGGAGGAAAAGTTAAGAACTGCTCCCTATAAAACATACACTTGATGTTGGTACATGCTTTCAGGTTTTACAGAGGACAGTGAAGCAAGAGTTTGGCAAGGCAGGGTTAGCTGCTGTAACCAAGGCCAGGGGAATACTATAATACCAAAAGCAGTATTGTCAACTCTCCCAGCTTTACCACCAGTCTTGACATATTACACTGTTTTCTTTGGCTTCGCTCCGGAAATAGAACAATTTAATTAAAATATAATTTTTCAATAAAAATGAGAAAACCTAAACTGGGGAAGCAAATGTGGAACCTTAAAGCTTGGAAAGCTAAATGGCAAACTGCTACTTTTTGTCTCTCAAATGTTAGTATTTCACAAATTTTAGGTGAGCCAGTTTTGTGATTTGCTTGGACTTCATGCATGTTTTATGAACATAAGGCAAAGGCAACACTGAACACACAGAAGGGCCAGTGGGCTGCTACAGCAAGAACAGCATTCACTTTTGGAGCTGGTGCTCTGAGTGTTTAATGTCTGTATGACAGCAAGTTCTTGACAAAAACCTCTGTTTTTCTTTGGATTGGACCCCTAGCTCCCGAACAAACAAACCAACTCAAATTCTCTTCAACCAAAAATGCCTAAAAAACTCACTCCTTTCAACAAAACCAAATAATCCCTGCTTTGCCACAAAAAAACTACTTTAACCAGACTGAGGCATGATATAAGGGAAAGGGAATTTCTAACTTCACACAGAAGATCAGTGTCTTTGCTCTGCTAGCAAAGAAAATTGCTTTGATTTAAGAAAAAATATCGCTGAGGACTGCATGAAAAATATTTCTTCACATGTGCAGCAGGGTGTGGTGTGTGCTGTGTCCTTTCTGCTCAGTACAGAGACAGCACAAGCTTTAGCAGTACAAATAAATACTTGCAGATCCAAAGGTCCCCAATTTTGGACAAGAGGGTGGCTGTATTAGAAGTCCCAGCTTAGCAAAATGTGATGTCATTGAGACTTAAGCACAAAGAGATGCTAGAGCCCTGACATATAAGTAAGAGCAAAATTTCAATGGCTCGTGTGGCTTTTGATCAAATTTTTAGTGTCTGAATTCAGTGGTAAGCACCCTCATTGACTTCAAAAAGACGGACCACTCAAACACAAAGTTCAAAGAACCTGAAAGATGCAATGACGGATCTTCTTCAGCACCTTCCTCAACTGTGTCTAGTCTTTATTCCTCACCTTGAAATATGTTGTTAATAGACAAGCTTTATGCAATACTGAAATACATATTAGATTCATTTTTGTAAAATGAGTGTATACAGCTTAAGTTAAAAAACTCTGGGCCTTTACAAACATTCAAGGAGGGCTTCAGCAGGTAATGCAAGATCTTGCTGTAGACACAGTAGTATTTTCTATTCCTTTCACAAAATGTAATATACAAGTCTTTAATACTAGATGCACTGTATGGCACAGTAGTGCACAATTTCTGAGGAGAGGACATGAACTCAGTCCAAATGATTAAATAGTGCTTCATCTTCAGCACTTTCAGTTGGAGAGAAATTTAGTATTGCTAATTTTACTTTGAATACAAAGGTTTACGAGTTTTGGGGAAAGAAAGGAGTAAACTTGAAGCTGTTTTGATAACATGAATATAAGATAAAAAATACATATTTTCCATGAGACACAGTGAGCCATTAGATCATCCCCTAGATGAGTGCATTAGCAATCTAATCTGTAGTCGAAAAGGTATATTCCTCAAGTAACAATGCTGTGCTACTACAATTTCTTAAGATGACTTTCTACTAGTCTCAAGATCATATGATTTCCAGAGAATAAACCACATCCTGGATTGCAAGCCCACCCTGAAATTACTTGATTAAAATTCTTAGTTTCAACACAGTTCTTGAAGACAAAGCTGAATCTACACTAACAGTAAGAAACAGGCAACAGAAAACTTCTAAGGTGCACATAACGCAATTACATTATTTTTCCTCAGTGTCTCAATTCTTTCATTTTATAGACCTAACCAAATATGAAAACATTAAACACAATCTCAGAGCTCAAAGCCAGTTCCAAAACTGCCAAGTATAAAACTGTTACTGAACTGCTCTGTTCTGTTTATCGTATTAGGAAACATTTTTTTGATGAAAAAATGCTAGATTGCAAGTGTAACATAATAGAAGCAGCAAGCACTGCCAGCAGGTCTGAGGAAGAGAGAATAATTCAGAGATATTGTCATCTGTAGGCCAATTTATATTGTCAGACAGCAGGTTCACATTAGTCTCTGATGTCACTGCAATAATAGCATAATATAACGATTGAGCAAAGAATACCTGTGGGGTATAGCTATACAGTACGGTATATCTATACTCGTTAAAGTATTTCAGGATTCATTCAAAGCAGAAGCAGAAGAAGCAGAAGACCAGGATTAAAAGAAGAGTGAGAAAATGGTGTTCATAAAGACTTCTGAATATTTTAGCCCTTGTTTTGTGATGATGAAGCAAGCACAATGTTGTATTTCATTGATTCAGTGGGTTCATGATTAAAATAAACTAATGTAGCAATTTAGGGGTTTTGTGCTTCCTTTTTTTTTCCCCCTCTAACAAGAAAAAAGGCTTTTTAACAGTTTCTCGCGGCAGGCATAATGTGCATCTGTGCTCTGATTTACTGCACATGCTGCCTTCTCTAGCATCATGTTAAGTTAGGGTATCAGCATGGTAGGTCACACAGTGGGAGTGACCTTTTACTAATCACTACACATCAGTTACTACTGGCACACAGCTCATTACTAAGAAACCCTCCAACTAGCTGGCTTTCAAATCCGTTCACACTTTGATTTTTTTTTCCCCTTTTCTTTCTTTCTTTCTTTTTTCCCCCAGACTAAAGATTATACTTTTACATAAAAGCTTCTGTTGTGTAATTTTGTCAACTAGGGTTCCAAAGTCAAAAAGGCACCCAGTTAATTTTCCATGATTATAAAAGGAGTCTGAAAATTCATACTGAAGGTAGGCCTGTAATCTTGGGTTTCATTAAAAAGGTCAGAACATTTTTACTCACCACCTATTATTAAAATGTTTGAGGGTTGCCATTAATTTGATTTGTCAGGACACAGAAATCTCACTGGAAATTAGAATGTAATCCTGCTGTTGCTTTACTGACAATTTTCATAGGGTAGGATACAGCTGCGGGGACTAAGAGCTCTCCTGCAATTTACAATTGGTTACTTTGGACAAATGGCAGGTGACTAATGCAAGACAAACTGTTTGCACAACCTGGGAGCACAGGGTTTAATTTCAGTTTCTGAAAGAGGGGAGAAAGTGTTTCTATTGACGTTGAACCGTGAGCTGTCCCCTGCCAATACATCTGCCACATTTAATACACAACATGCCCTCCCACCCCCAACAATGTGATTATTAGAGGTACAGAATTCAATAGCTTAAGAATGCAAAACATAGCTGGAGCAAAATGAAATGGTTTTTAGCTTACCGGCCATTTGCTGAATGCCGCTGAAGGCACCCAAGTTACTGGAGGAAGTTGCTTGCTGCAGAAGCTGCAAATTAACAACACAACACAGCAATCTATCTGACATTAATGCAACAAATGAAGATAAAACTAAAATGAGCTATCATTTCACATTTGGAGTATTTATGCTTTCCTTTACATTTATATAGTCTCTTGCTTCTGTCTATTGTTGGAATGAACATCCCTAGAGTCAATGCTGTAAATCCATATTAATGTCTAATCTCTATTAAGAAACACAGAGACACAAGGGAAACTCAATAACATTGCTGCTTTAAAACAATTAATCAATTTATTCTTTTGAACAACCAGGTGTTAAATCTATTTAAACTAACATAGCGTGACTAATTACAACCCTCTGTAGTCTAGTAGTTACCATAACTCATCTCTGTCAATCACGGTCCATTCTCCTCCACCCCCCCTGAATTCAGTTTTTTTCTTTATTATCTTTATGAATCAAGTGTACAGATACTCATTAGACTGGTATTTGTATATAACAATTTAGCCTACCTCAGTATTAATTAGCCTACCTCAGTACTAATATATATTTTTAATTGCTAGCTAATTTGCTGTTTATATCACTATACCAAAGCATAGTATGCATACAAATTATGTATTTATGCATACACAGTATATACGCATATGTATATATACAGTATGTACATATATATGGATGCATCTATTTGTCTAGCTCGGAATCATCAGGAACTCTCCAAGTTACCCAAAAGCTGCTCAACCAGAAATCTCAACTCCAGAGCCACAAAAGGCAGAGGCTCCCTCCCAGCTGTGCTGCAGGGGACAATCTCCTGGCCATCCAGGACCTGAGACACATGGCTGTGGATTTCACATTTCTCCAAGAGGACCAGCAGCCAATGTCCGTTTCTCATCTTACAAATGGACCGAGGAAAATACCATTTTAAATTTATGAGAAACAAATTGCTTTCCCCTGCCATCTTCGCTGTCTGTACAAGGTAGCACGAACCACCCATGTTTAACAGTGACAGGACAACGCATTAAAGTGAAAGCCATTTCCAAATGAAAATGTGGAAAATTAGAGGACTGACCCACAACATTCTAGTTTAGAGGCTGCACCATATAGATACGGCCCCTAGAGCGTACAGCTGCCTATCTGTCCTCCCCTAAGGAAGAACTCAAATTTTATTCCAGCTATAAAAAACAGACTCTAACATTCAAAAGAACAATAAAACTAATGGAATCAAATTTTATTTTACAGCTCAAGTAAACTTTAAATGCTTGCCTTGGACAGCACTGACACATCTTGAAATGTTTTATTCAAATTCTATTCCTTGTTATTTATTTTTAGACCATATGATAAACATACAGAGTTTTTTATACAGAAGAAAACATGCTATGTATCCTGGAGGACTTATCAACTTATTGCAGGGAGTTTACTATAGCTGATTTATCATGGTTCTAAAATAAATACAGCATAATATAGCCACCGCCTCCAAACTGAACTTACAGCTAGGTACTGTGGTGTGAGTCCTCCAAGACCTGTGAGGTTTCCCCAAGTGGCAGTATTGAGCTGTTGCATCTGCTGTGCCAACTGCTGCTGCAAACGCCGCTGTTCCTTGTCCTTTTGGGTATCGGCAAACTTCACCACGATTGGCGAAGAGCAGCCCTGCGGTTAGACAGATCAGGAAAGACAGAAGCGTTAAATCCCACCGAGTCAACCTCGCGTTGTGAGCTCAGCCATGTCCCATTGAGCCACCAGCAATGGCCTGACCTGATCGCTCACCCTCTCTTTGTGATTGGCATACGTAGGACCACAAGGATTAAGATTTTCAGCTTCTTGGGGAAAGAGGCTATGGAGAAATTATTGATTCTCCAGTTCTTTTTACAAAGCACCTTTCCTTAGGCTCTCTCTCTTCCTTCCAGCTATGAAAATTGCTGCCAGAGAGAGCGAAGTGTACCAGTCCTCTTTAATTAAGCTTCACAGCTGATGAGATGGACGCGATGCTTTGTCTGCAGTCTGTTTTCAAGGCATCGCCAAGGGAGAGGTGTCCAACCTCCCTGCTGCCAGGGACCACACAGCCAACACGGCCCTGCCACCACGGTCATGCTCGGTGCAGCTGGCTTGTGCACCCTACACAAATAGACTGTGAGCAACGGATTTACTGCAGTGCCCATCAGCAGCGGGTAACTACTCCTTTGCATATCAAGGACTGCCAGTCCCAAGTGAGCACAAAGGGCGATGCTGCTCGGACAATTCACCTGCCTGTGGTCTGCTCCCAGGCACGCTTTGTATCCAGCACCCTTGAGATGTGAACAAAGGGAAGGATGCAGACCAAACATGACTAGTTCTGGTGATAGTAGCCCGTTCCTGATTGCGGGCGATGCTGCTCGGACAATTCACCTGCCTGTGGTCTGCTCCCAGGCACGCTTTGTATCCAGCACCCTTGAGATGTGAACAAAGGGAAGGATGCAGACCAAACATGACTAGTTCTGGTGATAGTAGCCCGTTCCTGATTGCCACCATTTCTTCTGTTGCTTCTATAAGCCTCTTGTTACATGACATGGGAGGGCTGTAAGACACCTTAGGAAACAGGAAGGCTGTAAGAAAGAACTAGAGATCTGGTCTGCAGCCTACTGCTCACCCATGTCTGAGGGGCCCTTGAGAAGGTAGCTCCAGGGACACCTTCTAGCAGCTTTCCAGTACCTGAAGGGGGCCTACAAGAAAGCTGGGGAAGGACTTTTGACAAGGGCAGGTAGTGACACAACAAGGGGAAATGGCTTTAAACTGGAAGAGGGGAGATTTAGATGAGATATTAGGAATAAATTATTTCCTGTGAGTGTGGTGAGACACTGGAACAGGTTGCCCAGAGAAGCCGTGGATGCCCCCTCCCTGGAAGTGTTGAAGGCCAGGTTGGATGAGGCTTTGAGCAACCTGGTCTAGTGGAAGGTGTCCCTGCTCATGGCAGGGGGGTTGGAACTAGATGATCTTTAAGGTCCTTTCCAACCCAAACCATTCTATGATTCTGGGAAGTAGGTCAGGGACCAGATGGACTTTTGAGATAAGCTGGATATTTCCCTTGGACTTCAGGTTGGGTATTCCTGGGCAAAATCACTGAGAGAATGAGACGTGCATATGAAAGATGTCTCTGTTGCTCTTGCTCTATTTTTTCCCCCTGCTAAGATCTATATGTTTTCATATTTTAATCTTTCAAGTCTTCAATTTTTTAAATGAAGGGAGCAAACTGTATACTGCAATGATTCAGTTCTTCAAATTAATTCGAGCATTTTGTGAGTCATAGAAACTGTCAATCCATTTCATACTGTTTTCCAGCTTCATAGGATCCAATGAGTAACTTCCCTCCACCCGCCATGCTTTGTTATATTAATTTGTTGTTTAACTTCAATCTGAACAGAATGGTAGGTGACTCAAACTCAAAAACCACAGCAGCACTTAAGCTGAAGTGTATAGCGTGGGATGGGGAGCAGGGTTATACTTAACCTAACTCTTCCCATGGCTGCTCTCACAACACTGTGAACATCTTCAGAAAAGTTCCTGTCCTCTATTATTTACAAAAGGCAGCCATCTAACTTTTCTCTGAAGAACCTCACACCAGGACAAATTATAAAAATATTCACAATCAAAAGAAGAAATGATGAAATAAACCACAACAATAAAATCTCTTGGATGAAGATCTCCCATCAATACAGTTCCTTTAGGATTATCTTAGACAATCATCACTTGTGATTTATTATTTCAACTCCAACTCCTTTCCTGTGCATTTCACTGTAAAAATGTCTTTCAGTGTTTTAGTGATGAAGAAAGTAGATACGTACCACTCCAGCAATCAAATAAAGATTATGAAGGCGTCAAGTCTGTTACACAATTACCTCTCTCCAGTGATTTTTATACTAATATTAAAAACAAGACCCTTTTTTTTTTTAAAAAAAAAAAAAAAAAGAAAGAAAAGGAGCCGGGAGCTGGAGGGTGTGAGAGAGATTCTTCTGGTTTCACTTATAAAAAAAGCAAATTGTTTCTATTTAATATCAGGTTTGGTAGCACTGGGCTAAGAACAACCAGAACTTAATGCTTCCTACCTAGATGTACAGGAGAATCAAGTCTATTTCCAAAGAAATATAAATGAATTTCAAAGGAAGAGATACTATATGGCTATTTCAGTTCTCAGCTCAGCACTCAACACTACAGCTGACATCAAATTTATGAATGCTTAAATGTCAGTAAATTATATAAAAACAATATCTCTGCAATTTATGAAACTATAATTCATTTTTTCACTGTCTGCTCTAAATTTCATCACTTCATCATTTTCAAGAGAGCAAACATTCTGAAGACTGAAATTACACGTAGCAAGTGGCTCTATATGAGAAAAGGGTTGTTATTGTTGCATCAAATTTATTCCATGATAACAAATTAGTGTCTTCTACTGGTGCTGCATTTGAATGCCTTAAACAAGCAAACAAACAAACAAAAAAACTCCACAGAAATGAGACAGAAGAGCAAAAAGTTAGAGCAGCAATTATGTTTTTAAAATCTGTTGATTTAACCAGGTCAGAAAGTCAGGTGGAAAGAATAGTAAGAGAATTCATTATTCTAGGAGACATGTTCATCTGGACATTAACATGCTCATTGTTCTTTCTTAGCCCACTTCGAAAATTCATCTTGGTCAATGATGCATGCCAAAGAACTGAAAATAATGAAATCAGAAAAAAAATTCTGCAGTAATTGGGTTGAAATGTAATTGTGTACTACAAATTGTCCTCCCAGCTCACTTTTGTTTGGAAAATACATGAAACAAAAGTGTCCAAGGATCATTCTCCCAGACTGAGAATTGAGATTTAACACCAGCTAACCCAAGTTAACTTTTTACTAGAAGAGTATGGGCAAAAGAGAGCAAAATTTTTTTTCTTAAAGAATGATTTCTGGTTTATGCTCTTCCATTTTTGATCTTGAGAGGAAGTTCCCAGCACACACAGAAGGTGAATCTCCCTTCCCCAATTCAATGGCATGATATCTCCACCCCTTTAGGGCCATTTTCTTCCCAACAGCTGGTGCTGCCTTCATGTTTTTCTTTGTTTTGGCAAGACAGGACATACAGACTCTGCTGAGTCCTGCAGGTACAGAGCTGAAGGGTGTGCTGCTTCTCTCCAAGAAGGGACTCTCAGCCCAAGCTCAAATGACACAAAGACCCACACGTTCAAAGTGCAAAACATTTGGAATCGCCTTGCCAATTTGTGGATCTCACTGATGACACCTCTAAAGGTGCTGAGAGAGATTTTGATCCAAGAATAACTATTCTATAGAATTAATGTCAACAGGACTATCAAAGTGCAGCCTCTTTTGGAGTACTCATACAACAGAAGAATGGGAGACTTTGTCTGGGAGGCATTATCTCTTTAATTTTACCATCTTTTGAAGTAGAGCTGTGTAAAATTCACTTTGCTAGACAGAAAAATATATTAAAACACATGGAAAATATAGGTAAAACACAGTATTACCAATAAACATTTCCTTTTTACTTGGAATCAAACCCAGTAAAACATACAGATCTGAATTAATGGAGCAGTGCATGGCAGACAAATTACTAGGAGTATTATTTCAGAGATTCAAAGTGGCATTTTTTTTTTTCACAATATACTGTCAGACTGCATAGATTGCATAACATCAGCTTTCTAGTAAAGATCATTTCAATTATTCTCATCTCATTGGCAGATTCTCATCTAAAACTGTATACTCAGGGTTTAAAAATGCATTGCACTGAAAAGAAAACACATCGATTATATAAAAGAAGCTCAACCAAATTCAAACGTGATGTTTGGAAAGACAGTAGCTTTGCAATGCCAATATCATTACTTGTAGTATACAGGAAACAGTTAGTGACATTTTCATGCACTGGCTTGATCTTTATCTTCTCCTTCTTCTCCTCTCTCCACCCTCCCACCCCTGGTCTCCCCCCTTGGCTTGTTACACAAAGCAGCTCAACGACATGACGCAATAATGATTGTTTAGCACCCAGCATGCTTTGGGAGACTAGAGCATTGCAAAGAAAAATCACTGAGAAAAAAAATTAAAAAATGAAAGGTCCTGGTGGAAAAAGAAATTTAAAAAAAAAAGAAACAAGTGCACATAACATCAATGCCACCTCTGAGAAAAATCACTACACGAAGATACAGTATACATAATACAGTATAACATGCACTCTCCAATGATAAGCTAGAAGATCCAGAGTAAGTAAAGACTTCATACTTGTGCGGTTTTTTGTGCAAAATTCTGAAAGACCATGACAAAAATCACAGACTGAAAAAAGTTTTGAGATTGCCAGACAAGCCGTGGCATTCGATAACCACTCCAATGAATGGATCATTAGCCTGCAGCTATATTCACATTAAGTGAACAAGTTTAAAGTTTTGTGTTGCTCATCACGATAAAATACGAGGCTGTAGCGGCAGTTTGGGAGGAAATAAAGAGCGTTGCTTGTGAGGGGCCAGCCATGACGGTGCTCTGTAGGAAGTGCCACACTTTGATATGCTCTGTCATCATTAGCATTTTTATTGGCTACATGAAGAAGGAGAAATTATATTAACTTAAAAAAATATTCTATTTGCAGAAAAACACATGCACTGGTAACTCAGCGTGGCCAGGTTAAATCTCTTGAGATTTTTTTTTCAGAGCAGTGCAAACCACAACACTTAAAAATCTATTTAAAAGAAACTTAGATTTTTCTTTGGGGATAAGTGTGTTAAAATTAAAGGTAATTTACTCATCAGACATAGTCTGAGCATGACCGAGGAGTGGTATCCACAGCATTTTTATTTTCTGCTGAATGCCACTGAAAATAGGATCAAGAGCTGTGTTTGGATACCACACAGCAATCTTATTGTGTGCTTTCAGGTCATTAAGAAAATTCAGCTTCACAAAGAGAGGTAGAGCGAGTCAGTAAAAAGTTTAAATCTGTGATTGTCATGTGTCTGATCTGGTCCAGGAGAGCATGGCTTTACCATTCGCAATCATTTGCACAAAGAAAACAAAGAAAGGGCAAATGATACAGTACTGTACCTCCATGGTCTGAGACTGGTGCATGGCTTTGATTGCATTCTGTGCCATTGCCCTTGTAGAAAATGTGACAAACGCACAGCCTGTGGGAACAAGGGGACAGGGAGCAGGAAAGACAAAAAACAACAAGACAAAAGGGTTGGACGCTTGTTAAACCAACACAGTCTACGAGAACGGCCACAAGACGACACTGTTCTCAGTAGTACATAAAAATAAACAACTTCTCTAGTTTATTTATCGACAGTGCTGACTTGCTAATCTGACCATAGATGAAAGAAAAAAAAATTAGGTGGGGATGGGTGAGGAGAAAGAGTTCTTTCCTTTATTTTTTTTTTATTTTCTATGTTTTTGTTCTTTAGCCACAGGGTTTGAAATAAGTAAGACTTTTACGTAGACTTTGGATTGCATAGTTTAGTCCATTCAGACCACTCATTAACAATTGCTTGCTATGGCTTTTGTGCAGGTGAATTGTGGATAGGGAATAAATGGCTGGCATCACTGGCAGCTGAACTGGGAATTTAAAGGAGTCCATAAAGTCACATATTTCTGTGATGCACTGAGAACAACCATACAAATAAGGACGAGGAAAAACTCCAATGTGTACCCTCTGACTAAGTGTGAAAAGACTCAGACAAAATTCAGTAATGTAGGTGGAATCTCAACATTTAAGAAAATAACATTAAAAATGAAAATCTTTAAGATTTTTGTTTCTCCGAGTCCTGGGCACAAGTATAATTCTTTGATCTATGAAAACTACCACCAACTTGAACAATTCTGAAGCTATGTGCATGAATAAACTAAAAAATCACTTTTTTCCCTCCTCAGCCTTTTAAATCACAATGAAAAGCCAGGAGGCTAATGCCTGGGCTATTTTTCCACCTTTTTACTATTGTCAGTCATACCTACACTGGGCATGGTACAGGTCAACTTTTTTAGAGCATGACTCACTGCCCTTTTGACTAATAAAAACATTGCCTTCTGAGATTTACATTTTCTTCTTCATGCACCCTTGGGCATCTTAAAGAAAAAGACTGTGAAATTAATGCAGATTCAGACTGATTTTGTAATAATACCATGGCACACTAAAAGCTTAGCTAAAGCAACACAGACTTATTTCACTTGTGATCTCTAATGACTTTAAAAGTGCATTGATTTTCAGCTCCCTTAGCCTTGCACAGTTTGAACTTAGGTTTCAGAGAATAATTTAGTGTTCCACTCAATTTCCTCAAAACATTATTATTATTACTACTTAAAAGATTTCCAAATGAAGCAAATCTAAGCACTGAGAGGCTAAAGCATATTGTCATTTTAGAGCTAAGGCATGAATGCTACATTCTGGCATCAAAAATACAATATTGTTGCCCCTGTGGCCAATGGGCAAAATAAACCATTTTGCAATCCAACAAGCAACAGAGTGTTTGGTTTATGTAAATCAATTTGAGGCATAAAATACCTTTTCTTTTTTGCTCTGTGTCTACCTGGTAAGATTATCAAGTCAAGACTGTATTCACATTTTAATCAAACAACAGTAAGAGAAAGCAATGCCTGATCATTACCCAAAAGCACTACATCTAGTCATGAAAATAAAGTCAATGCATTTTTGCATCATGCGGTATTTTATTTTTTCTCCTTAATGTAAAGGCTCTTGATACAAGAGAACCTAAGCTGGCTTATGTACCTCTGACAGATAAGTGAGCATGATAAAATCAGAAGTCAGGATTCTTTTAGGCAAACTTCATGGCAGTGTTGTGACTGTACATATTTCTCAGGTAACATAACAGCTGATGATGTCTTACTGCTGTTTAGCCACACTATGTGTTGCTATACTATTCTTATTCAGCAACAAATTTCTGTCAAAGAAAATGATGTAACAAAACATCTTTCTGTACAGCAATCTAGACAAAATGTGCAGCAGAAGGCTAAATAAACTACAGTACCTCCACTAGATTACATATTGCTGCTGTGCACTAAAATTAAAGAGGCTCAAATTTACCATCAGTCTCAAAGTAATCTCTCTCAAAAACATTTCTGTTGTTATCATTAACAGAGGAAATAACACCATGGGTTTTCATTTATCGTCTTGCAAATTCAGTGGGGGATGAGCACAAATAGAGATATACTGGAGGGCAGGCAAGAAACCCCATACAGAGTCTTGAATAACATTGTTTATAATGGTCAAGAAACTGCTTCATTCATTTCTTTCGCTCTTATTATCCAGGAGTGTGTACCATAGTGACAATTACAGAATGGAGGTTTAGAATGCATAAGAAGCATGTAAAATGTCAACAAAAATCAATAAGACACAGTTTATGCATTTATCACAATTTCTACCCAGCAGTACTGCTGTAAGTAACTTAGGGAGAGATGTTGCAATTAGCAGGTCTCAAAAGAAATGTGAATCAGCAGAGAAATAAAGCTGTGCTCCCCTCAAGCGAAAGCAAACTCTTCCTTCAGCTTTTCCTCTTTTTAACCACAAAGCTCAGCTGTTGGGATGTTCAGTGCCCAGTGCTACTGCAAAACCTCCCCACTTGTTCCTCAGCCCAAATCCATTTGCGTGGATCCTGTTGCCTTTGTCGTGGAGTGAAAAGACCTTCGCAGCAGATCTCTGTAAAGTGCCGTATAGCGAGCTACCAATTTAAAAGAAACTTGTTCTCCGGGCAAGGGGAATGCCTGATGAATGAGGTTATGCAGCTTGAATGTGAGCATTCGGAAACAGCATTCCACAGAGAAGACAGGACTGCATTTTAATTACGGTTTGCCAGCCAGAGGCTACAAGGTTAGGTCCCCTTGTTATCTCCAGTCTGCAGGCCATTTCCCACCGATGGACAGTGGCCATTTGCACAGTAAATACCCAATTTGCCTCAATAACCAAGGTAAAAATTCAGTAGACAACCTTATTTCTAAATTATTTGATAAGCTAGACCTTCAGTTGTTACCGTCAAGCACCCCAATTAAATGCTAGCCAATTTAACCGTCTTTCCAGACATTGCTACAAATATTCACATTCAAGGGCTATTTTTCAGCTACCAAACTCGGACACTCGCACACAAAATTTGTGTATTTATTATGTGTGCATAGGTGTTTCATTATGTGTGAAACATGGGATCCTTTCCTTCATGATGAGACTGCCACACTGGATGGGTGTTAATCCTGTATCACAGGATTCAGCCTGCTTAATCACTGAACTTGCATATGTAATTCAGGTATTCAGAAAAGCTGTTCTTCTGAGATGCTTGTATTCTCCGCCACAGTTGATGGCAATGCCTTTGATTTTCTATATGGGGTACATATGCACTTTAGGAGGATGCTTTTGTTTGGCGCCTAGAATTTAATGAGAAGCTGATGTCTAAGCACACTGGATTTCACTTGTTTAAGCCAGGGGAGCTCTGTCTGAACCACCCTGTACTCTTGCCACAGCAGTTTCTGAGGAGTTGGAAAAACCCTTTTCAGTGTACTCTCACTCACTGTATCTCATGGATATAGGTGGTCTTTTGGGAACATACTGCCAGCTTTAGGACTGTAAATCACAATTATAAGAGGACAAGACTAATCAGATTTCATGCCTCACGGTGCAAGGAAACAAGAAAGATTTCCATGGCCTCTTACCCCATCCTATGAAACACTGTATTGATTGTAGTGCTGTGGGCTGAGGTCTTCCGGACCAACAGCTACAAGCAAATTATTACTGTTCTACCATATTGAGTCCTGCTACTCAATTACTTCCTTCTAACTGGAGCTGTAGAGCTCTCTGGGAGAGAAAATGTGAAGATGGGGATATTTCTATAGCTAATGCATTGAAATGACTTCGTTTTGCTACTTAACTACCAAAAAAGAAAAATTAAAATTAAAATTAATCCTTTTGTAAATCTGGCCAACCTGCAAGTCATCTTGCAATTATTTATATCACCTCTGGTTTCAAAATGTCAGGGATCACTAACAGAAACAAGAGGGGAGGGAGAAACAAGGTCTAAGATTTTTAGTTGCTTCTCCAAGGCTGTTTTCTCACTCCCTACACCAGATAAATGATTGACTGGGGAAAGGCTTCTCAGAGTAATTTCCTCCTGCAGGCAGAATCAGAGGGAGGCACCGAGCCCTGTCACAGAGGAGATTTGGGAGCACATTATCACATTTGCCATCTCGGCTGTAAGAACATCTAAACTCACAGGGTTGGTCCTTACCCTGCTCCTGTCCTGAACTGAAAGAGAATTTTGAAGAGGCTGCAAAATTAGGAAAGCTTCCTCCTCAACCCGTGCCAACCCAAAACTAGGGCTTGCTGCTTAAGTAACTGAATTATTTGAAATATTTAAAAAAGCTTAGCACTGCTCCATTTCAGTTCCTGCTTCACTTGATTCTTCTCATCTCAGGCTTTCATAGACTGTTTTGAAACATTCAGTCAGCAGTTCATGCACAGTCTAACATAACATCAATACTCGTGAGCTGCAAGTGAAGTAGAACATTTTTAAATATAGAGGCCTCAAGGTAAGGGGTCTGATTTCACACCTACACAAGAAACCTCTCACATAAAACTATCGTGGTCTACTCGAGGTTTTAAAACCCTAAACCCTCAATGAGGCCAAAGGGAGATGCGAAACCCCTAGACATTTTTGAATCGGGCCTAGAGTTAAATATGGAAGTTTAAAAACCATGGCTTTAAAGTTCTGGAGATGAAAGAAAGGCAGATGTAATAATTTTTTTAAAAAAATATATAGTGACCCCTCTGACCTAGAAGAAGGCTCAGGAGACTTTCACCGTCATCTGAGCAATTGCAGTACTACGTATGGTGGCTGCGCTGTCAGTGGTGTAATGGTCGCTCTACGGCTTTCTAGTTCACCATAAACAAGGTTTTTCTTCACTTTCTGTGAAGAAACAATAGTGAAAAGCTGCCAAAATACTCCTGCAAGAAGTATTTGGGATCCTCTGAGATGAAAGACTCTATTTCAAGAAAAGATAAGGCTCAAATAAAAAGCTACGGAAATTGAAGAGTGATAAAAATAAGCTCTAGTTGTGTTAAAATATTTCTAGCTGAGATTGCAAAGCGGACTTTCCTTTTTCTACATTGTGCTAATACAGCACAGTCTGAAGA